TTTGGGATGACTCCAGATTCAGCACTAACTGCTATGCATTAGAGACCCTCAATGAGAATTACCCAGATAAGCCCGGCCAACACCCAGAACTGTGAGAGACAAGTAACTGCTGTTTTATGCCAGTAAGTTTGGGATGGTTTGTTATGCAGCAGCAAATGAAAACACGCACTCTCTGACCCTACTCCAACTCTCCAACAATACCATCATCACCATCACCTGTTGCTAAAAATTCTCCTCTCCAGTTTTCTCTTCACGGTAGACCCCTATCTATTAATTCTCTGCTTATTCCTGACTTCATGCCTTAGTTCATGCTTTTCTCCTCTGCCTTTTCTCTTCTCTCCATGTAACTCCATGCTCTTTTTCAGGTCCATCTCAGGACTAGTATTTCTTTCCTTTAAGCTTTCTTGTAAAATGTATGTTGATCTTTACCTCCTAACTTCATAACCCATCTATAATAAGTACTTCGGTAGTGCCTACTGTATAATTGGTCCTTAGGTGTATTTTGTGCCTACTACACTACTGCTGGAAATATAGTCGTGAAAAAGACAGATATGGTCCCAATCCTCATGGAATTACATCTATGAGACATTGATATTAAAGTAATAACTGATTCTAGTTAAAAGTGAAAGAGGGACAAGAAAAGCATACCTCCAAAACAAATTAGAAGGGCATCTTATATAGTTGTGAAAGATAGTGTTTAGGAAAGACTTGTGTGAAGAAGTGACAAGTAAGCTTACACTTCAAGGGTGAAAAGAAATCAACCTAACTAATGCAGAGGTAGGAAGTGCTAAGAGAGAGTGAAAGAAACAGCTTGTGCAAAAGTTCCTGCACTAAAGAGAACTTGGTAAAGAACCTTTCATAGATCTGAAAGGTTCTTCAGGTGAAGGCAATGTAATTACAGGGGGAGCAGAGGTGTAAAATATGAGAAAAGACAGACATGAACACCCACTAAGGCTCTCTTGAAGATTTCAGAACTTTGGGAAGCTATTAAAAAACATAAAAATGGGAGTATGACAATCAAATTTTCATTTTTAAAAGACTCTGGCTGCATAATAGGGAATGGATCTTGGAAAGAGACAGAACACCCGCGGACAGGGAGTCCAGTTAAGTTACTGCCATCTTGGCATGGACAGGAGAGATCAAGACAAGTAGTTAAATCTGAGACGAAGGAAGAACTGAAAGGGCTTAGTGAAGAACAGAAGTTAGGGGAGGTAAAAGAAAGCAAGAATGATTCCTAAGTCTCTTTCTCCAATGAGTAACTAGACTGATAGCCTAGGGACCATACATTTGTTTCACGGACACTACTTTGTACACTGTGAACTCTCTTAACTCCTCCTTCTAGCCTACTACCTGATATATAATAAAGTAGCACTACACTGAAACCCTCTGGTAAGGAAGAGGTTCATTTTTATCACTATTATAAAGAACATAATTACTAGTAGTAACTGGAGGCATAAGGAAAATTTTAAAATATATGAAAATAAAGCACGAAACTATCAATACAGTATCTAAAATTTCAAAACCTTGAAAAGCAAAAGAGGCAAGTGAGTACACTGGAGGACAGAGAGATAGAAAAGACTAACATTTTAAAGAAGGAATCTGGAAGAGAATGTTGAGGATCTAAAAATGAGAGTAGGGGATACAAGAGCTTATACTAAATCAGGACCAGGATGAGTCAGGTTCCTTTCAATGTGAGCCACAAAGATAAATTACAAAGTCTACCTGCTTCTGAAGTATCATTATCAAAATGCTTTCACTTCACAACAAAATTAAAAATGTTTATAGCCTAGTTCTACAACCCTGAAATCACTCAGATCCATTAAAAAATTAAATTACTGGGGCACCTGGGTGGCTCAGTCAGTTAAGCGTCTGCCTTCAGCTCAGGTCATGATCCCAAGGTCCTAGGATCAAGCCCGGCATCAGGCTCCCTGCTCAGCAGTGTGTCTGATTCTCCCTCTGCCACTCACCCCATTTATGCTTGTGCTCACTTGCTCTCTCTCTCTCTTCCTCTCTCTGAAATAAAATCTTAAAAAAAAAAAAAAAGATTAAATTACTGAGGGCTGATTCTAGTACTGATGGAAGTAGTAAGAAGATGAGGGGAAATAATCTTGAAAGTGCATAGTCAGACTCAAACTTTTGATTCTCATGGCTAGATTTAAATACAGTGAAACCCCACATTAACAAAGTTTCAAATAATAATAATGTTATTTGGGTAATTCAGTCCAGCCCCTTGGGCAAGCTAAAGTTTTATTTCTGGGAATGAATGTGGAGGAACATGGGACTATAAAATGATAACATGAGGCACCTGGATGGCTCAGTTGGTTAAGCGTCTGACTTAGGCTCAGGTCATGATCTCAGGGTTGTGGGATCCAGCGAGAGAAGGGCTCCGCGCTCAGCAGGGAGTCTGCCTCTCCTCTGCACCATCCCGCTAATGTGCGGCTGCACATGTGCTAATAAATAAAATCTTTAAAAAAGAAATAAAATAAAATGACAACATTCAACTTCACATTATATATGACTGTCTTGGACTCCAATTATGGCATGATAGGGATTTTCTGTAAGTTCAGAATTCTAACGGACATGATAGTCCCTAGCTGCCACATTTAACTAACGGTGATTCACTGCCAACCTGGGGCCTTCCTATCTTGAGGTTTGTGCAGTAGAGGAACAGTGTTCTCTATGTCACAAGCCTCTCATTCAATTTTTTAAAAAATCTGTTATTTCTTCACTTTTTCATGTTCTTACACTCAATAATCTTCATTTTACACACACTTCTCTCAGTAAAAATCTTGATGCAACCAATACAATCAGTTCTTATTTGTAAATCATGAGTTCCACCAGAGATAAAATGGGAGTTTCCATCCAAATGGGATTCTATGGCCATATCAATAAGGAACCTAAGCACAGCTAACATAAACTGACAGAAATGAGGCCTCACACTCTCCATTCTGTTAAAAAAAACAAAGAAACACAACAACAACAACAAAAAAACCCACTGGCTTCCAAGCAAAGGTGTAAATCAATACAACCATCACCCACTTTTTGAAAGTTTGTCTTACTCCACTCTGCTGTTACAGAAGACCTACATTAGTAGCTATTTTTGCTTACCAAAAGAAGTCCAAGTTTTCGCTTTTATGAAAAAAGGCAAAAATGAAAATAGCGTTCAGTGTGTTTGCAGAAAGCCATTACAGCACGCAACCCAGCATTTAGAGTGTCACTGCCAAGCTCCTTCCCCAAGAACTACATTCAACATCTCACCATCAAGCTGCGAGAGCTTTGAACTGTGTCTGGGAGCATTTGTGCTTTATCTCTATTTATTTTATGCATCTGTTAAGACAGGTCCTAAGGCATCAGAAAAGCCTAAGAAAGGTTATTTTTTGGGTCTGAGAACATTCAAAAAAATTTTCCATATAAATCAACTGCTTCTTCACTATACACTGTTTCAGCTTTAGGAAAGGTTTCATGGGAATGCTCTGCTTTCAGATACGGGGGAAACCTGTAATGTAGTACATTAAGAAGGAATGAAAAATAGGCTGAATGTGGTGTTCAGAATAAAATCTGGGGCGCCTGGGTGGCTCAGTCGGTTGAACATCCAACTCCTGATTTCGGCTCAGGTCATATCTCAGGGTGGTGGGATGGAGCCCTGCCCCCTAAGCCTGGAGTCTGTCTGTCCCTCTCCCTCTGTTTCTCACCTCTCCTCCCCTCCCCTCGCCCCCACCTCTCAAGTAAGTAAATAAAATCTTTAAAGAATAAGATTCTATTTTTCAGAAAAACAGCAAAATAGATACTTGGTAAATAAAAAATGAGATGCAAATGTTCTAGTAATATAAGTAGGTCTTGAAAAAGAAAGCAGCAACCCTTGCAGAAAAAGCCAGAAGTCTCATTAGAAGTCCCTTAAGGAGTGGCTGAATCAATAAGTGCAGCCTACAGTGAAGTAGACAGGGAGACACAGTGGGGAGGCCGACACTACCGAGTGAGAATTGCAGTTATGTTTCAATAAAGACGGAGACTAATGTCAATATCCCCTGGAAAATGCAAAAAAAAAAAAAAGCAATATTTAACATCCATCAAACACATACAAATGGATGTGAACAAAATGGAGACAAAGGAGTCTGCAAGTGGGCCATACATGCAACATAACACAAAAGTAGTAACAATTATCTTTTGATTCTTCACCTTCGATCTGCCTTTACCTCATCTTAAATATTCACAAGAACCTTAGGAGGAAGTGACCTCATTTTATAGAAAAAGACACAGGCTCAAAGATGTCTAAACTCACCCCCAGGAGTATCAAGTGGCAGACCCGGCATAAGAGAGGGTAACTGCAAGACACTTCGTCTTCTAGCACGTGTGCGCAGGCTCGACGCCCGCGGGCCCCGAGGTACAAAACCGGTAAATACACCTACAGCCTCAGAACAACCGCGTCACCCGCTCCAAGATGAAGTAGAGAAATTCTGAAGACAGGGGCGACCTGCTCACTGGCCGCTTATTTGAAAAACGCCTACTCCAGGGCCAGAGCCAAAGGACAGGGCGGTGACCAAACACACAAGGCCGCTCGCTGTCCGCACGAGGCTTACAGTCTTGAAGACTGTTCCCGCTCAGGACTAGGAGAAAAGGGCGCTCCGCACGCGGCGCGGCAGGGATTGCGGGGGGTGGCAGCGGCACGTGAAGCCGGCCCCACAGGAAAGGACGCCAGCCGCCAGCCGCAGCGGAGGGGCGTGGCGCGCGGGGAGCGGGAGCCCCGCGGGTCCGGCGCGGGAGGCACGAGGCGTGCGCCGGACTGACGTGGGGGCTGGAACGTCGAGCGCGCGACAAACTACGCAAGAGCGAAAAGACAACTCTCAAAGGATGGGATCATCAGCACTATGGCCCTGGCGGGTCCCCTGGGAGGGCCCTCAAAGATGCCCTTTGGGGCAGGAAGTGGACCTAAAGTCCTCCTTGGCTTACCCGTCGCCTGGGGGCCTTGGCTACACGGTAAAGGGGAACAAACGGGCACTCACCGTCCATGGTCTCCCTCACCGCGTTCAGATTCGCCGCCGCTGCCGCCGCCGCCCCGGCACCGCTGCTACTCGCCATGACGGAGGCCGAGGGAGGCGGGAGAAGGGCCTGACCCGGAACTGGAGCGCCTTCCTTTCTCCTGGGCAATCACACCACGCGTCCCCCGCTCACGCCGGGCAGGCTCCGCCCCTCGCGCTCGTCGCCAGCGTGAGGCTGCGTTGATTTAAATTTGGAGCCTCGTTACTCTGCGCGGAATGCGAAGCGAGGAGTTGCCATTCGAATTTACTACGCGGCCTCGATGCGATTGGTTGGTTCGCGGACAGCGGTACGACGCGATTGGCCAGTTCCCCACAGGGCCCGTGCCCTGGTTGGCCTAAGACAGCGCGGAAGCGGGGAGTTAAAGAGTCTATGCCTGTCGTGGGAGCTGACCTGGCCCCTCGGGAGCGCCCTGGAGTCGCCTATTGGGGGGGCTTCCTTTTTATGCACACCACTAGGTACGTTCTTTGTAGTCCCTGGCCTTTCCTCCTGTCTTGAATTGGAGAGCTCACTTTTCCTTTCTCCCGACCCACCTGCCCACTGTCCCCGGGGTGAATGGGCGCAGCGAGGGACTAGGTGCGAGGGGGTGGGGGTGGGGGGGCCAAGCAGTGATCGTGTAGGGTTGGGAGTGACACTGGCGGGAGTGTCCACCTCTGCAGTTCACCCAGGGAAAGCCAGCTGCTTCAGCCTTTCAAGTAGATTCTTTCTCCCTAGTCGTATCCCCCTTTGACTGAAAGTAATGCAGTCTGGCCTTCTTCCTTGGGCTTCTTGGCGAAAAGGAGGATGTTTGAGGAGAGGCAACCAAAGGAGGCGGTTAATTTCCTAGTCCTAATCAGTCATACTTCTTTGAGGGGGGCTAAAGTGGAAGAAAGACACCCGTGCACAAGCTTCGTCGTCACGTATTTGCTTGCTACAAATAATTGTTGTTTAGCAACTGTAGTTTAATAGGCAATTGCTGGGATATCCGAAGGATGTTCAGAGTCTTTAGAGACTTGAAATAATGAATAAGGAAACTATAGGTAGAAGTCTTTTAGTTGAAAGGAGTTTTGTGTCTGCTATAACGTTTAGTTGCCCGAAACGGACCTGAACTCATTCATATGTGATTGACTGCTACTTATGTGCCACTTAACTTCTCTGAGCCGAAATCTTCTGCAAAATGATTATCACTAATACCGTATCTCTCTAGCTTTAAAGGTTATTTGGAGGATCACTTTAGAAAATATATGTGATGCCTCTTTGTAAACTGTAAAAAAAAAAAAAAAAAGACCCAAGAGCGTTAGATTTTGAGTTCTTTTTGCGAAATATGTTTGTTGAATACATTTTAGTTGTCAAAATGAATGTGGAACTTTGTAGTGTTATTTTTCATACTTATTTTTTTTTTTTTTAGTTTTCTCTCTGTGCTATGGGAGATGTCAAAGAATCAAGAATGCAAATAACACCGGAAACTCCAGGAAGGATCCCGGTTTTGAATCCTTTCGAAAGTCCTGGTGATTATTCTAATCTCCATGAACAAACTCTCTCCAGTCCTTCTGTTTTTAAATCAGCGAAATTACCAGTAAGTTATTCTTGACTAGTATATACAAATTATTTTAAATGTACACATCTTTCTTTAGGAGGGAGAAATTTATCCTGGAGCACTTATACCTGGAATGTGCTTTTTAGTTGTAATGTTCACTATAGTGTAGTGATTGGGCTAAAAATAAGTTAGGTAGATTTTTTTTTTTTTTTTAGTTAAAATTTCTCTTTTTTTTCTTTCAGTGGATAATGTGTTGGCTTCCTGCAACTGGGTGTAGCTAGATACTATGATTGATGACATATTTACTAATACTGTATTCGAGGAGACACTGTATCATCTAATTATTCTCATTTATTCAGCAAATCTATTTGAATGCTGCTGTGTTAGATAAAGTACTAGGCATAGAGAAGAAGTCAGGGTCATTAGACACAAACTGTCAAGGAGCTTGTATTCTGATGCAGGAGTCAGCAAACTTTTTCTGTCAAGGGCCAGACAGTAAATATTTCAGGCTTTGCAGGTCGTCTTGTTGCTGTTAGAACTAGTCACCTCTGCCTTGTATCACAAAAGCAGCCATAGGCAATATGTAAACAATGAAACATGGCTGTGTTTCAATAAAGCTTTCTTTATGGACATTTGAATTTCATGTAATTTTCACATGTCATAAAATAATAATTTAAAAAATTTCCAACCATTTTTAGCTTGCAGATTGTATAAAAAGAAGCCAACATCTACTCTAAAGGAAAACTCATAACTAATCTAGCAACTTCAAAACAATATATGTGCTATTAGTGGCTAAGGTGATTAAGGGTGATATGGAAAGGAAAGTGCTGTTTTGGAGATTAGGGAAGACTTTATCGCTTTAGCTTATTTTTACTTTTATTTGCTACACTGGAGTTCTTTTGAAGCATGATCTTTTAACCTAGTAAATTACCTAGAAAAACGGCAAAGTACATTGCTGTTTATGCTATACTTCATATCCACTAAAACTACGAGCAAGTAAAGTTTTACAGTTATGCAGTATATTGAGTTGTAAATCTGACCTCATGATTTTTGATTGAACTGTATTAAATTTTAGTTCTCTGTTAATCTAGAATAAATAATAGATTAGCTGCAACTTAATGCTCAAAACCAGAATGTGTGGGATGTTGGATTTTTAAGCCTGATTTCGTCAAAAATGCATTCGGAATTACAGATTAGGATTTGGGTAAATTTTTGGTTCAGTTGGATAGTTGAATGCAGAAAAGCAGCAGTGATTACCATTCATAATTATTTTAAGGTTCAACTATTTTATGAGCTTTTGCAGGCACTTTTGTAGTTAGGACTTCATTTCATTTCAGTTCATTCTTAGTGAAAGTAAAGACCTCTGATAACTCTAGTAAGAGATTTTTACCTTTATGTGGGTATGTTGCATCACTGATGAGTATTAATTATGGAATTTCTATACCTTTATTACTCTACTGTGATTTTTTCCCCATTATTATGCAATTTTAAAAATCACCCAGATGGAAGATTTGGATATTTTAAAATATAGTCCAGTCAGTTGATTTAGTGTGATTTGATTACCATTTGCCATTTAATTTAGTGGTAAAGCCAAATTTTAAAATACAAGCTTTGAAATACTTTTGCATTATAACCATTCACATTATTTTTGAAGCTGACATTGGTTAGAATTTTGATGAACTGTTTTAGTTTGCTTTTACTCATAGGTTCACTTTCTTTTGTTAAGACTCCAGGGAAATTTAGATGGTCTATTGATCAACTAGCTGTAATAAATCCTGTAGAAATAGACCCAGAAGACATTCATCGTCAAGCTTTATACTTAAGTCATTCTCGGTAAGTTTTCCTTTTTTGTATTTAAGTATAATAACATGTTCTTAAGTGAAGAGAGATAGGAAACTCCAAAGGTTGAATATACTTATAGGTAAAGATCCCCTACTCAGGATCCGTTCAGGATATTCCTGTAACCTACATGCATCATGCTGGTGTTCTTTGATGTAATGGTCAGGATACTCTGTTCTGTATGACTTCTGAGAACCTTCCTTGATTAGGTTCTACAATATTTGCCTAAACTAAGCAATTCACTGCTTCTAGCAATTGCCTGAATATTTCAGGTTCTTAAAGGCCCTCTGATGAAGCAGAAAATGTTTCTGAATGAGGTGATATTAAATCAGAGCTTACTAAATACTATATGCTGTTATTATTATGCACTGTCATTTTGACCTGGCTTATGTGCATGAGAAGATAAAGAGAACTGAGTTATTTGTCCCCAGAATGGCTATTGTTGAAACTGAGATATGTGGATTATCATTGTAGTCTATTTTCTCATCGTTCCCTTACTTGAAAAATTCACTTGATTTTAATTTGTGAAACGTACATTTTTATATAAGGTTTGTTAAAGCCACAAATAATATACGTGAAAAATTTTGAGAGACAGTCATTTAAATTGTTGTAAAAAGAAGTGTTTTACCAATTTATTAACAGAAAGCAAATACTCTCCCTTGGGACAGATTAAAGTGGTCCTCTAAGGCTAGCTGCTTAGTCCTTGGCACGTCTATGCCTTGTGCTCGAGACCCGACATTTTGTGTTAAATCTTGTAGCTGATGAATTTGTGTTGCTGTAATTGCATATTGTATCAAAGTGAAAAAAAATCATTTGGACAGAATTCTATATTGTCATTATTTTATTTCATAATTAATATTTTTGCTTCTTTGTTCAGAACTGTAAGGATGATAGTTTCTTCTATTTCAGAGTAAGTTGATTCTAAAATTATAGCTATGATAAGCTTGCTATAACAGAAGAAAGAGAATCTGGACAATTTTTAGATTCCTGTGGAATGAAATACTTCTTAATTTATGACGGTTAAAGGACAAAGTTTATTCAAATTACTTTATGTTGTTAATAGTAATTTAAAAATTAATATCAACGTAAGCCCTTGAACAGAAAATACTGTTCCATTCAAACTGAACGGAAAAGAGGGAAGTAAGCCTACCAGCACAATGCCAAATACCTAAATGCTGTCATTTACTAAATGTGCTAAGACATCAATTTTTCTCTTAAAATGAGCCTAACATTTGCCAGTTTTCAACAGGAGGAAATTATTTCTTTGAAAGCTTATTATTTTAAATGTTCAATCAGCTGAAGTAATGGCATGGTTATGTTTCTTCTTTATCTCTGTATAGAATAGATAAAGATGTGGAAGACAAAAGACAAAAAGCCATTGAAGAGGTAACTTAAAACCGTTACTGATCATAAGCCAGTTAAGCATCAACTCTGCGCGCCAGTCACCCCTTTTAGGATGACTTCCTTCAAATCCTTTACTATCCCCCATCGCCACCAGTCTGGCCTGTCCCCGGCTGTGTCTGGCGTTCCTCTGTGCTCCCACAAGACCAGTGTTGTTCCGCTACGCCGGTGCCTGTCATAGTGCTCTTATGATACTGTAATGACTGGTTTAGTGCTTTTCTCCCCTAGACTACATTCTTTTTTTGGCCAATATTGTACTTCATTTATCTTTTCATTCTCAGGGCCTAGCCAGTTTGTCTTCCTTGTGCCTTCAGCGTACCAATGAGTACAAACTTCTGTTTCAACTTTGAGTTTA